AACGTGGACTTTGACGATGATGATGTGGTTGCCTTTGGCGACGACGATGCCTGGTACGTCTCATGCCGGGTTGGGATCTCTTGCCGTGCTTGTTCTTAAAATACTGTCCCGTCTATGCAAGGGCGTGCTGGCCCAACACCTCACCGGTGCTGTTTGGACTTGCCAACATCATCGCCTCAGGTGGGGCGATGACGACGAGTTTGACGACGATGACCGCAACGACTTGTGGGAGGACGATGACACGGCCACTGGTCCCCCGGATCGCCGTCGCGCCGAGCATAAGCTCATGCCCACCCGACCCGATAGCCGCCTGCGTCGCGATGCTCCCGACACCGAGTGGTCCATTTCAGTTCAGTGCACTGGCGCTGCCTCTACGGCCGTGGCCTCGCTCCTGCCCCTTGTGGCCGCTCTAGCCTGGCTCCTGGCCTAAGCGGTTCAAGTCCTGACTTGAGTCGGAAGACGTTTGGCTCGGCATCATCTCTTCGTGCGGTTGCTTTCTTGTTCTTTTTTTTTTTGGTTCTTTTCCTCTGCTCTGCATGTTCTGCTCTGCTCGTCCAAAGGGCTTCACGCGTGGGTGCCTTGCCCAATTCAGTCAGGCCCACAGATGATGCTTCACCTCCAGCACGTGCGAAACAAGCATAGCATCAAACTGGCCTTCGAGGGATTTGCGTGGGCTTGTCAGTCTCGGGCGTGAAACCTTGCCCACACAAGCGCCAGAGAGGGAAGAGAGAAAAAAAAAAAAGAATCACAAACCGAGAAGACTGCAAAGGTGTCAGTCAAAGCACCCCCAGTAGCGACAGCAGCCGCGACCAAAACGACCCAGTGTCTTGGATAACGCCAGCAAGTGCCGGGATTCTTTTCTAGGGGAAAAGCTCAAGCTCGAGCTCTCTGAACCTCTCTCTGAATCTCAAACTCTCTGAATCTCTCTCTCTCTCTCTCTCTCAAACTCTCTCAAACTCTCTGAATCTCTCTCTCTCTCTCTCTCTCAAACTCTCTCAAACTCTCTGAATCTCTCTCTCTCTCTCTCTCTCTCTCAAACTCTCTCAAACCCTCGGAATCTCTCTCTCTCCCAAACTCTCTTAATCCCAAACTCTCTCAAACTCTCTCAAACTCTCTCTCTCTCTCAAACTCTCTCAAACTCTCAAACTCTCTCAAACTCTTTGAATCTCCTCTCTCTCTCTCTCTCTCTCTCTCTCTCTCAAACTCTCTCTCAAACTCTCTCAAACTCTCTCTCAAACTCTCTCCACTGAATCGCTGAATCACTTTCAAGCAGACTCTCTCTAAACTCTTTTTCTCTTTTCTCTCAAAAACTCTCTCCCTCTCTCTTTGTTACTTACATGTGGTAGTTGTGCTTCTCCTCTGTGTCATTTCTCTTTCTCAAACCGACCCAAACCAATTCATTCATTAAACTCTCTCTCTCTCTTTCTCAAACTCTTCATTTTAAAGAGAGATGGAGGGGCGGAGACCAAAAGTGTCGGAGAGTTGAACCCGAAACTTGTGCACACACACACACACACACACGGACGGACGGACGGGACGGACGGGACGGACGTACCGCATGCAGGTCTGGGGATTGAGGTGTGGCCTGGGGTTTGGGGGCTGTGGCATCGTTTGAAGCGCCATGGTCACAAAGCCTACAGCAGCAGGAGGAGCAGGAGATGCGCCTTGAGCTCTGGCGACTTGTCGTTGATTGATTGAGCTGGAAGATGGTCCCGCAGCCGTCGCGCCATGGAGCGCGAGCCTCCAAGCGCTCCAAGACTGCGACCAGAGGTGCACAGGTACGTGCCCCACAATCTCCCAACATCGGCTTCCTGTGCGTGCAAGCGAGCGCTCACAGACCACCCCCCACCCCACACCCTCTTTTTCGTGCCATCGGCAGCAACCGCCACAAACCTTTGCACAAAGCCCAGCCGTGGTCCCCGTGGCCATCGACGAGCACCATCTTGAAGGTAAAGCCTCGCACTCACACTCACTCGCTCCGCCCCCCTGTCTGCCTGCCTGCCTGCCTGCCTGCCTGCCTGTCTGTCTCTCCGTCTCTCCGTCTCTCCGTCTCTCCGTCTCTCCCTCTTCC